GGGGGGGGGGGGGGGGGGGTAGGGTCTATCTTCTCGGTAGGCGGCCCTCTCTTGACTATGAGCCTCATCTCCGTCGTGTTCTTCGGGGTGTCTCCTCTGGTGATTTTCTCTATAGTGGTTGTGCTCATGGAGTTTCGTAACTCTGTTAGGCGAAGCTTGGCATTCCTGAAGAGGAGCGTCGTGCTTTGTTGGGGGCGGGGGAGGCTCCTGACTTGTTGGCGGGAACTGAGGGAGCTGGTGTGCTTGTATCCAAGCCATCAGCTCCTGGTTCTGCTTTATCAACTGCCTCATGATGTGTTGGTAGGCTTCCAGTTAGTTGAATGGGGAAGGTTCACCGCGGGGAGGTGATTCTCGACGTCCACTTCAGGGGCCGAGAAGTTCTCCGGTAAGCTTTGGTGAACTTGGGGGTTGGCATGAGTTTTACTCATGTTTCGAGTTGAAACCACCAAACAAATAAAAACTCAAAAGAAAAACAATGAAAACCGTTCCCATAGATGGCGCCAACTGATGGTGTTCGAAAATAACGGCCCAAGCCCAGTCAATGAGATGCTGGTGAGTTCTGTGAGTGTGATTGAGTGAGAGGTTAATCTATGAGAAATGGAATGCAAAGAACGTGAGTGGTTTGACTTAGCCGAAAGACTAGGGCTACGTCCAGTGTATTCGGAGTCTCCTGCTCCTGAAGGTTGTTCATTGAATCCTGATGAATACAATGAGATTATTGGTGCTAGGCCTTTACAAGGATTTGTGCTTTGCTTGCTATGGCTCTCAGGCTAGGGAGTGTAGTGGGGAAGATAATTGATTCATCCTCCTGGTAGGATAACACTGTTCTATTTATATGAGTCGTCCCTCCTAGGGTTCGCAATATTTCTTTTAACTTTTTTGTTGATTCTGTGGAACCTTTTGTCACTGTTCTGCAACAACCTCTGCTATTAAGCGCTACTGTGCCCACGATCTCTGGACCGTTACGCGCATCACCACTCTCTGTGTTCGGGAGGGTGTAACTTTCATAGGCATCATAGATGATCCCCTTGTCCTTTAGACACATGGCATGGCGGGATGCTATCAGGGCAAAGATTTGGCTTTTCTTTCCCAGGCTGTTCTTTAATTGGTATTGAACTGGGTCTGGGCTGGACTGCTGATCCTCTAGTGCTTTGCCTTTTGTCTCTTTCTACTCTTCGATGTGGGCTAACTGAGGGATCTTTCTTTGTGCTATTAAACAAGCAAGGTTCCTCTGAGCTTATTGGGCTCCAAGGTTATGGCGGCACATATCTAAAATTCTGTCCTTATCACTTTTAATTCATTTGAAAAACTTTACATGCATATCTTGTTTGATGTAATCCTCAAGCTGGCTTGGAAAACATTGATTTACTTGTGCTTGAGAGTTAAGGCAAAATAAAATAGTGGATGGAAAAGGGAAAAAGAAATAATTTGGACCGTCGTTGTAATTTATGCAACCATAATGCTTTATTTTATCATATAGGTTATTCTTGTTTTTAAAATTATTGTCGTTTTTAAGTTTGACAAATTACAAGACAATATGCTAACGTGATATGAACCCCTATATATAATTAAGAAGGTAACGTTAGTTAGTTCACAACACGAATTCAAAAAGAATCTACCCCGCTAACATGGGTAACATAAGTGTTGAGTTAGTATTAAATACAAATAAATCTAATTAGACATAATAAATTTTTTGATATAATATAAAACTGTCTGGTTTTTTAATGTCTTTTATGTTGCTAGACATGGTATTATATGACTTGAATATTGTTTTATGGAGGTTTTGTAAGCATTAAGATCGAATGAAATTTTAATTTACAAGGATTCATTGGCTATTAGTTTAATTGAGAGAGAATGAGATTCCAATTTGAAAGTCTTATTACATAGTTTATGCGTATCGATCAACACAACATAATTGATAGATACACTACGTTAGTAGTATGCGATTATGTTATGACTAGAAGTTAAACAGAACCTCAACGAACGTGTATATGGTTCAAGTCGATAAACTTTAGGCTTTTGTGAGTGACTATATCAAATTGATCAAAAATTTAAAGGATAGACGAATTTTATAGTGGTTCATCAATGTAAGCTAGTCGACTCGAATGAAGTCTATTGTTCTGGGGAGGAGAAATTATTTTATTGCTTGTTGAGAATGATTGGTTTACAAATGTCATTTTTGGTAAAGGTCTTTAATATTTACAAAAGGGTGAGGTTGTCACACCTCGTCTCCACATTCACTGTTGTTGGAGCGAATTCCTCCCTGTTTACCGGAATTCGCTACTCCATAATGGTCGGAGTAACATTCTCCCCTTGCTATCGGAATGAAGCGGCTTTCCTTCCCAGGGGCGCAACGTGGTCCAAGAGGTCCAGCTAAGTGAATTCTGTAACTAGTGCCCATGGTTCTGCTCAATCCGCCTTTGAGTGACGACCTCATTCATCGAGTTGGGAACCAATCCAAAGGTTCATTATGTTCGTAGATCTCGACCTTCAGGGCCTATTTGGTTAATTTTTTTAGAGGAGTTTGAATTGACTTGCTAAAACCCTTCTAACTATAAACTCATCTTTATAAAGATGAGATTCAACATTCAATCCCGTCTATACCCATGTTTGGTATGCGTACAGATATATCACTATTATGATAATATATTTGTATGTAAATGACTATTGTATCCCTTAACCAATCTAATTCAAATTCATGTTTGTATATGTACATTTTCTTGTATCCTTATGATTTAATATTTAATTATTTGGGTTATAAATATTTGATTATTTGGGATATATGAGTTGTATGGGGATATACATGTTATTTTGTATGTTCAACTATTTAACTCCCATATAAACCACCCCCACCCCCAACAATCGGGTTTCATGAAATCTATGAACATAGGTTTAAATTATGGGTCTAAAGCGGACTGAGTTTGATAACTTAAGTTAAAAATGTAGTTGTCAAATAGGGGTTGATAAATTTTGTGAACTTTTATTCTCAATCCATCTTTCAATTCCTCCCTTATCCCACATACCAAACAGGCCTTTAGGATTTTGGAGGTCATGTCTTCTCACTGCGTCGTCATGCATATATGGACTCCATTATTCATGTTTGAGATGCGTATTTGTATATGACGATAATATGGTATTAGCGGTATGCAATTTTTTAACACGGTTAATTATTTAAATTGAGTAAAGATTGAATAATAATCAAAATATATCCGATAACACAATTCAAATCCGTCACGACCCAATTCTTTTTTGCACCTAACATTCATCCTTCTTGAATTCAAAAGGATAAAATATAATTTTAGTCCCTAAAATATATGTGAAGTGTTTATTTAGTCTTTAATATTTTATTTGCGTCTATTTAGTCTCTAATATTCTGAATTTATATCTATATAGTCCAATTCTAAACGTTCGTCAAAAAAATCGCTGACGGCTTTAGTCAAGCTCCAATCATGTGAGACTAAATAGATATAAATTAGAAACTTTAGAATCAAATAGACACAAAATTTTGAACTAATGATAGACACGTGATTAGAATTGTCATGATATTTTTACGGACATTTGAAATTAGATCACATAAATACAAATTAGAAATTTTAAGTATTAAATAGACACAATTAAAATATTAAAGACTAAATAAATATTAAAGGCATATTTTGGGAAATGTATTTTATCTGATTCAAAATAGTTGTTGGGACTCGAACCCAATGAACTTTTACATCGGACCCGGTTCGGCCATTACAAAAGAACCGGTCCAAACTCGGATCTGCTTTTCTTCTTTCACACTTCACAGATCACCCCCACCCTTTTTCCACGCCTCTCTTTCTGTCTCTCTTCAAATCTCCTCCCATAAGAAGAAGCTTCGTACCCTTTCCTCACAGAGAGAGACCTCCAGTGACACCAATGGCGTTAGAGTGGGTGGTTCTAGGCTACGCCGCTGGCGCAGAGGCGATCATGCTCCTCGTCCTGACCATCCCAGGTCTGGACGCACTTCGCAACGGACTCATCACCGTCACTCGCAGCCTCCTCAAACCCTTCCTCTCGATCGTACCCTTTTGTCTCTACCTCCTCATGGACATCTATTGGAAGTACGAGACTCGCCCTTCGTGTGAATCTCAATCGTGCTCTCCCTCGGAACATCTCCGCCATGAAAAGTCGATCATGAAGTCCCAGCGTAACGCTCTTCTTATTGCTTCGGCTCTTGTGTTCTACTGGTTGCTCTACTCGGTTACTGGGCTCGTTGTTAAGGTTGATCAGTTGAACAAGCGCTTGGAGAGGTTGAAGGCGCAGAACTGATTGCTGGGTTGATCAGATAAGTCTGTTTTGTCTCGATTTGTCAATCGATTCGAACGTGAACTTTGTTGTTAGGATCTGTGTTGTTTTGGATGACTTTAAGTTGTACCGCACGTCTATCATTGCGTGTGGACATCGAGGGTTTCCTATTTCTCGTGGGTATTAATGTTTGTTTGTGGCTAATTGAAATTGGGTATTATCAGAAAAGAAGTTGATATTATCGAGTTATGAAATTTGTGGATTTAAAATAAGCCCTTTTGTTATCTGCTTCTTAATTGTTTAGACTTTAGGATTGATTAGCTCTTTTGGCTGTAGACGTGTTTGTTTTTTCATTGCCCACTACATTGCATGGAAATTTGTTGTGTATGGACAACAAGGGCTTCAAATTCAGTAATGGTTGATGGGTATTGCGATTTGTTTGTGACATTCTTAAATTGGGTCTCAAAGTAGATTGTTGTCATTAGACCTTATGAATTTTATCGTTGTTACTTGTGAACTTAGTGTTTTGATTGCTGTCGAGGTGAAATTGAATATGCGGGGGCATTGTCCATTATAGCGGCCCAAGTTTTCTCAAATAGCTTGACATGAAAAGGGTTTAGCTATGTTGTTGAAGTTATGAAGGTCCATAATCTCAAGAAGGTTGACAGATGGCTGTCAATGTATCCCTCTTAGGGGCACATTGATAATCTCTGGGAATGTTGTCGTTATTTTTTTTTCTTTAGCAGTTAGCCCATGAGCCTTTAATTACTAAATGGCAAAATGGATGCTTGTGTTTTAGGAAACAATCGTGAGTGGATGCCTGTTTATGACTGTATATCTAAGTACTGGTCTACGGCTATCGTGTGGAAGATGATGATGATATACCTTGTAGTGTTTACTTGTTGGTTGGACACTACTTAGGTGTATTAGTTCTCTATATTGTCTGCCATGAATCTATTGGAGTTATCTGACTTGTTTTCTTGGGTCGGATAACAGAGTTGAAATATCCTAAGCTTGCCAGGAGACTGTTGAAGGCTCCTTGTTTATCTTTATAATTGAAACTTTACCAAACGACATGAAATATAGTCTTTAGCTGATATCAAAGCAGTGGGATTCATAACCAGCCTTGGAATTGACAAGGATAGTACTGGGGGCTATGCTGACCAAAGCCTCCTTCCAAGCCAAAGCTTTTCTTCCTGGTTGTAGTGTCTGAAATATTGCAAGTCTTTTCAACTTCTGCTATTCTTCAATGATTTAGTTTCCAAGAATTCGAATGTCCAGTGGTTCCCTGAGTTCCATGAATCCATTCTAATATATATGTGTAGAAATGTATGCATGTTAGCATGTGCATATGCTTATGTGTTTATGTCTATGTATTTATGCATTTATGTACTTTTATTCTTCATCCATGGAATGATCAGGCATAGCACTTTTGGCCTTGAATCTGTACACCTGATCCTTCTTCTGTCCATCTCCAAAATTTGCCAGCAAATATTGCATTGATTGGTGTTTTGGCACACCCATTTCATTCTTTCTTTTGCTTGCATTATTTTGGAAATTGGTTTAGTTCTCAAGCCTAGAGCAGGTACTTTGTTATTAATATACCTATAGTGCGAATTTCATTTCTGTTACCCTTGTGTCTGAGAAACACTTTCGACCAAAGTTATCAAATCGTGTATCGGAAGGCGTATCGTAAGATACAAATATTGTATCGTATCGTGTATCGTAAGATACGATGCAATTTTAAATAAATAATAAAAAAATATATATACCTTTGAAAAAAAGTCATACACTCATAAAAAATATAGCATTTCATTAATACTCCACCAACTATTCAAGTTATCAACATAATCCACTACTATTATAATGCAAAGTTCACAACCATAGTTCACTAATTCAAACTTTAAACACCAAAGAGACTTCTAATCCAAATTTCTAACATCCATTTTGAACTCAATCTTCAATTTCAATTGAAAATGCATCATCATCATCATCATT